GACAACCGAGGGTCTGCCAAGGGCATTGAAGTCACTCAGCGTCGAGCTTCCAACGCTGATAAATTCTTTAAGGCGCATTCGGCAGGCTATTGACGATGGTAGGGTTTCTCAAGAAAGCCAGGAAGCGTTGGAACCACTTATCAAAGACTTCGAACTTCAAATTCAGGCTCTGTCGGATATCATATTCAAGATGCGCCCGCGGGTCAACTCAAATGCGTCTCGCAATCTCAAAGCCGTTACAAGCTTTCGTTATGACAGCGAAGTGAAGCACATAGAAGGTGTAATCAGAGGCTATGTATCGACATTGACATTGGAGTCTGCTATCGCAGCTGATAACAGAGGTGGCACAGGTATGTTGGCGTCGCCCATGATAGAACGTGGGCTTCATCGATCTAACAAACAACAACTTGCAGTTTCACAGCCACTTCTGACGCCGAGATTCATCTGTCCTTTTGGCAAGGATGTCGACTTCATCGAGAGATCTGTGCTTGCTGATCTCCTTGTTTTGAGGGGACCTGGATCGCGACATGCGCTTGTGGGAGCAGGCGGCATCGGGTACGTACACAACCACCCGGCTGAACTATCTACAGCCTTCGCATTCCCCGTTGCCCAGCACGGCAATTTGCAGCAGCTAAAATTGAGAACAGAAAGTCACAGATTGCAATTGAGTACGGTTACAGAGTCCAACGAGACTTTCCAAACACATGGGTTTTCTGGATCGATGCGGAGAATATTACGAAGATGGAAGAGAGCTATCGTGAGATTGCCAGAATTTTGCGCATCAATGGCGCAAGCGACAAGGACGCGGATGTCTTTGGTCTCGTCTACGATTGGCTGCGCAACGAAGCGAATGCAACATGGTTGATGATCATCGACAACGCGGACGACAAGGACGTCTTCAACCGTCTACCGCCGAAATACAAGGGATCCGACCAGTCCAAAGAGATACGAGAATTCATACCGCAATCTTCAAATGGCTCAGTCCTAGTCACGTCGAGAAGCCGAGACGCTGCTTTTCAGATCACCTGCAATTACAAAAACATAAAGCATGTGGAGCCAATGAGTGAAGCAGAGGCAATCGCGCTCCTACAAACGCATCTAGAAGATAGCCACGAAGATGAGGACAAGAGACTACTTGTTGAGACTGTCGACTACATCCCGCTCGCAATTACTCATGCGGCAGCTTATATCAGCAGACGGTCCTTACCAATACGCGACTATTTACAAGAGCTTAGCACGAAGGATGAGGAAGATTCAAACGCCTTAGAAGAGGATATTCCACAGCTACGTCGTAAGGCAGGGCGTTCCAACTCAATCGTCAAGACATGGAGAATCACATTCGAGTACGTCCGCAAGACCATGCCTTCGGCCTCTAGGCTCTTGTCGCTGATGTGTCTCTTTGATCGACAGGACATTCCGGAGGCGCTTCTCCAGGGGCAATACAGCGAAGTGATACTTTCGTCACGGAACATCCGCAAATCATGGTGGAAGCGACGGCCTCATACGCGCCGAAAGAAAATAGAGCAACAGTCGTTGTCTTGTCCTAAGAGCCTCCCTCGTGACTTTGAGGACGACTGGCTCGCTCTCAGGGATTTTAGCCTGATCAAGATGAACAGGGACAGGAGGCATTTCTCTATGCATCCGCTGGTGCAATTCACGACTAAAAGGTGGCTCGTTCAACATGATGAGCTCGATATCTGGAGTCAACACTTCATACGTATCCTCGATGATAGATTTCACGACTCAGATGACGGTGACTTCAAGAGATGCGAGCCTCTGATCGCACATGCATATGCTGCCATTCCGTACCGGCCATCGAATGCTGCCATACATCCCTTACGTGCATGGGCATCGCTTACCAGGAAGATTGCGCGTTACTACGACCAAAGAACCGGGCTTGAGATAGCGCAAGATCTTTACCGCGTTGCGGCTGAGGCTTTCGAAACTACAGGAGGTAAAAAGACACCCGAAGCACTCAAATGCCGTAAACTGCAAGCACTCCTACTTTTCCAGACAGACAGAAATGCGGAATCGGAAATTCTGTATCGCCATATCTTACGCTTGCAGCAGAAAGCTCTCGGCCATGGACATCTCGATACACTGGATACCATGGATCGCATAGGCGATGTATTATCCTTTCAACGCCGTCGTTCAGAAGCCGAAGCAATCCAAATGCAATCGCTCGAAGTCAGAGTCCGCAATTTTGGTCTTGCGCATCCCAGCACGCAAGAATCCCTTACCAAGCGCGGCTATTTTCTTCTAGCAGGAAGTCGCTATAATGAAGCCTACGTCACCTGGAAACAAGCCTCTGAAGCACGAAATGTAGCACGCGATACTAGCTGGGTCAAGGAATTGGATCTAATCGGGTTGAGATTGCAATTAGATGGTCGATCCGCCGACGCGGAGTATTATCTAAGAGAGTCGCTTTCAGAGAAAGAGCGTATGTTTGGCGAGGACAATGACTCCACAGTGCCCGAAGCTGCTGCAACACTGGCACGCATCTTACTTTCTCAAGAAAAGTACATCGAAGCAGAGGCCCTGCTACGTCGTGCACTTTCTTGGTACGATTCCAGCGAGTTTTACGATAATCCAGAGCGCTTCCAGACGATGAGTGACCTCGCCCATACAATCGCACATACGGACAAACTTGAAGAAGCAAAAGAACTGGCCATAGTTTGCCTTTCATGGCGAACTGAGAGCTTCGGCTCACATGGTCGCGAAACTCTGGAGATCATGTGGATACTAGCCGGAGTACTAGAGAAACAGGGGAGCTTTGTGCGGGCTTTGCAGAAGTATCGTGATACGTATGAAGGTGCGAGACAGACGCTGGGAGAAGCGCATGCGGATACAAAAGACTACAAGCGTGATTACGAGAAACTTGAGCAGGCTATGTATCAGAAGAGCTCGGCGATATCAGACGAGAACTGGGATGCAGCGACGATAAACTCTGCATTCGATCTCAGTAACGAGAATACAGGTGCAGGGGCTCAGGAACCAGGTGCTATGCTCTTCGACGTGACCGAATCTGAGAAAAAAGGATATGATGGCACTGTCATAGCAGCTCGATAACCATGGAGAGTATGCATATGCGGAATCAGCATCTCAACGAGTGCTCTATAGAAATCGGAGTGAATAGCAGAGTGAATGCTCAGTTGTTGTTATTACAAAATGTCCGCGCTGCGTCATTCACTGAGCTTTGCGACCCACCCCGTTGACATAATCCCACACTCACGCGCACTTCGCTATACAACATTGAAAATTCATGTCCTGCAGTCCGTATCCTTCTGACTGCGTGATACGAGCACGAGATCTTCAACATCGTCTCTTCCATTCTGCCGCTCCAAACCGCAATCGCATTTTCGCAACAGCGCTTCTCCACCCACTAGTATCACGCGACTAGAACATGGCCTTGCCTACACCGAAAATCGTACCCAAGGCCTCTGCGCTCTTCTTGCCGTACGAGATCGAACTCTACCAACGCTGGCGCAAGTCCGCCCTTGGTATCGCTGCTGAGAACGACGATGACGTCCTCCTGCCCACCGCGTTTGAGTACATGGACTTCCTGGAGTGGCGCGCCAGACAGTGCTCGAAACTCGATGGGACTCAAGAAGCGGAGAGCAAGTCGCCAGATCCAGCGTTTTCGGGATATGTATTGGCGGAGCGATGTGGACACCCTCTACATCCTGGAGATCCACGTCCAGATGCTCTAAGACAACCGAAGGACGATGCAGAGGAAGAAAACGAGGAAGAAGGCGAGGAACAGGATACGATTGCTTGGTGTTCGATGTGTCTTTTGCAGATCCATCTCAAGCTGCTTGCCGAGCTATGGGATAAGTGGTTGAACTCCGGCGGCCCGTGGCGTGTCTTACGTCCCGGCTCCACAGCGGAAGGCTGGCAGATTGCCAAGCGAGCATACTATATGCGGAAGACCAACCTAGTCAACGATGTCGATAACTTGGAGGATGTCGCGCGATTGGAAGATACCTGGGAGGCTGCGCATCCCGCTGCGGACGTGGAGGTCGTTCGTGCGTACAGCGCCAAGACGGCAGTGGATGTGTATGCGAAGGGTGTTCAGTTTCCTGCACGCGTAGCAGGACCGGATGAAGTAGCTCCCCGAACACCAACAGGCAAGGAACGAAAAAAGCGCCTCTCGTACTCACCAGACACACCGGAGGATACTCGTCATCGCTCTAGTGCCGCTTTCGCTCGACGCTGCCTTGCCTACGACCCTGAGTCACCCCATCGATGTCCTGAAGAGGATGGATGGGCTGAGACATCGTTCAAGAACAGCTGGGAGTACAATGTACGGCAATGTCGCACCCTGCTATGCAACAAATCGCCCAATGAACCCGATGTCACTTACCGCGAACTCGCCGACGAAGCTTCAAAAGATACCCTCATCAACGGCATCGAAGAGTGGCTCGGCAAGATGCAAGATGATTGGAAGCAGCCCTGGGTTGACATTTTGCTGGCTACAACCGAAATGTTTCTTGTCTGGCAAGATCCGCGTCACGACGATGATGCTGACACGGATTTCAACAACTGGGACAGGACTGAGACACTCGTGGGCACCAACCTAGAAGCTTATGCGCGGCAAATTGGCGATATCGACGAGGAGGATGAGACCGAGCTGGTACAAGCAGAGGTGACAGAGGACTTCTTCGACCAGGATTCCGTTGCGTCTGACTCCGACTCCGACTCAGATGAAGACGAAGACGAGCTCCCTGATCCGATGGATCTAGAAGAGGACGAGGAAGTAGCCATCAGTGTAGATGAATAGGAAACGCCAGCTCGGCTACACAGCGCAGACGCTGGAGCAGAATCTTTACCACCTTGCTTATCCAGTCAACATGGAAACTCAGAGCAAAATGACAAGTAAGGAAATTATGAGACAATCAGCCTTGATATGTGGTAATAGGTATGCAAGACTACTTGTCTCGAACACAAGTCAGGTATCAACGCCCAATAAAATGATGAATTCGCCAAAACGTGCCCAGACTTTACATGACAATACAGCAAGAGTTTTGCTTCTTAGCCTGTGACTGTGTTAGCATGACCGAGCTTTCAGTTGCCAGCTCTTGAACACTCACCTGTGTGTAGAACATCTTGCTCGATGCACTCAGCTCATCACTTTTCTGAACCAGGTTGTCAATCTTCTCTCCTCGCTCCAACACACTCTCGATGGTCTTGTGTAGCACAATCTTGGTCTCGTCCAACTCTTTTTGGATCTTCATTATGCTGTCGGCCTGTTGTGGGTCTTGGTACTTGACGATGTAGTCTTTGAGCTCGGGGTAAGACATGTTGGCCGATTCGGTCGCGTTGGCAAAAGCGGAGCGCGGGTATTTGGAGAGGAACTCGTCGCAAACTTTGGAGAGAAGCTGGTGGGCTACGAGGGAGGGGTATTCGTGGTCGGTGATCATGAGGCCGCATACGCCTTCGGAACGACCGTAAGCGTGGAATGTGTAATCTGGACGCGCTCGATTAGCATGTGTCTGCGCATGAAGCGGCTATGCTGACGAAGGACGTACCTGACTCCTCGACATCCTGTCTTTGCCCTGGTAGTGTCCTAGAAGCGACTGTCTTTGCTGTGAACGACATCTGGCCTGCTATCAGCGTGTGTCCCTCGGTCCGTGTGACCTGCCACAACTCTGGCTGTGCGGTGAAGGTGACGTACGAACTCTCCGACGCTTCCCCGTGTGAAGCGGCCGAAGCTGGACAGATCGCGCTCGGCGCAAAGTTCGATCGCGGGTTTGGTCTCATTCTTGAGGATCTGTACATGGTTAGTACTCATCCGAGACTGGAAGCGGCGGTGAATGGGCTCCTACACCAATATAGAGGACCTTCATATTGGCGGCGGGTTTATTTTATTCGTGAGGAAGGTGAGTGGTGAGACTGGTAGGGCAAGGTTGTGTAGCTTGTATGCGCGTGGTAGGGTCGTGGAGAAAGGAAGCCTGGAGTCGTGGCCCGAGATAGCACTCCTGGCGCCAGCATGCGTCTCATGGTCGGCGGAACCAGCATGTGGCGCGCTGATTATGTCATGCCGCTAATGCGCGGGGGCGGGGCAGGTCCAGCCGAATCCAGGACACTCACCCATCATCGATTCTGCCAAGCCTGACGCAGAGGCAATCACGCTTTCCATCGTGAAGAGCGCTCCACCGAGCGCACCTGGATCATATCGACCGCTAACGTTCGGACAAGCTGTAATAATGTCGCCCGCCGTCGAGGACGCCCAGGCGCAATGGCTCGAGCAGCTCGATGCCATGCGCAAAGCCATCGCTGAACTCAATCTCCCTGCCGATACTGAGAAGGCGCCAGCCTACGGAGATGACCTCGATTTCGATGATGATGACTTCTCTGGAACCGTCAGCGGCGAAGATATCTGGGACATCATCAGCGACGAGTATGAAGAAGAGTTCAGCAGTGATCACCTCGACCAATTTCCCGATGGCCAAGTTGGTGGCGAGGCTTACAGCCAGCAATGGCTCGCAGAGAAATGCTCTTCAGTAGCCCAAAGTGGTTCCGGTCTGGATTCTGGAGCGTTGAAGGAGCAGATCACCGCGATCCTGTCAAGTGACAGCAATGGTGAGGCTTCATGCCAATACTCGATTACTGCAGCATACTAACTATGAATAGACGAAGAGCTACAGATGATGCTCGCAGACATTATTGGCTACGGAGAGTTGGACCTTGTGGCCGAGCTCATATCGCATCGCAAGGACATCATGCGATCCTTGCATAACCCTACTCCCGCTCAAAGCAATGGTGCCATGGGCCGTTTACAGACCCGAGCCGAACGCGAAGAAGCGTTGCGCCGGGCGGATTGGGAGCACAAGACTGCCGCGTTGGCATCTTCTATGGACCGAACAGGTCCCCAGTATCCTCACGTTTATCGGACTCACGAAGCCGGCAACAAGCTCTCGGCTTATGGCAAGAAGTACGCGCTACCTCCAGATACTGAGCATCGCGACAACAACCTGTATGAAGAATACGAAATCCCCGCAGTTCCGGTAGGTACTGTCGGCGTCGGCCGAAGGCTTCTCGAGATCCAGGAACTGGACGGCCTCTGTCAGCGTACCTTCAAAGGCTACAAATCCCTTAATCGCATGCAGAGTCTGGTGTACCCAGTCGCCTACAAAACCAGTGAGAATATGCTGATCTGCGCACCTACTGGTGCTGGTAAAACAGATGCTGCCATGCTCACCATTCTCAACACCGTGGCTAAGAATGTTGTGCCGAACCCGATCGACGAGCCTGAGGCGACCGACTTTACAGTCATGATGGAAGACTTCAAGATCATCTATGTCGCACCCATGAAGGCGCTCGCTGCTGAGGTCACAGACAAGCTTGGAAAGCGCCTAGCGTGGTTGGGTATCAAGGCTCGCGAACTGACTGGTGATATGCACCTTACCAAAGCCGAAATTCTGGACACCCAGATCATAGTTACCACGCCAGAAAAGTGGGACGTGGTGACGAGAAAAAGCACTGGAGACACCGAGCTGGTACAGAAAGTACGTCTGCTCATCATCGATGAGGTTCACATGCTCCACGACGAGCGCGGCGCTGTATTGGAAAGCTTGGTAGCGCGTACTCAGCGACAAGTGGAGAGTACACAATCACTCATCCGGATTGTCGGTCTCTCTGCGACCTTACCCAACTATGTCGACGTAGCCGACTTTCTCCGAGTCAACAAGATGGCCGGTCTGTTCTACTTTGACGCTTCATTCCGTCCTGTACCTTTGGAGCAGCACTTCATCGGCGCCAAGGGCAAGCCAGGCACAGCGAAGTCACGTGAGAACGTGGAGAGAGTGGCCTATGATAAGGTCGTTGAAATGCTCAAACGGGGCCACCAGATCATGGTCTTTGTGCATTCGAGGAAAGACACCGTCAAAACAGCCAGGCGATTATACGACATGGCTATGGAAGAACAGTGCACCGATCTATTCGATCCGCAGGACCATCCTCGTTACGAAAATGCTGTACGCGATATGAAGCAGTCAAAGGGCCGAGAATTACGCGAGCTACTTGGAAAGGGCATGGGTACTCACCATGCTGGTATGCCTCGTTCTGACAGAAACCTGATCGAGCGCCTTTTCGCTGAGGGCGTTCTAAGAGTGCTCTGCTGTACAGCGACATTGGCTTGGGGTGTCAATTTACCCGCGGCAGCTGTCCTCATCAAGGGCACCCAAGTTTACAACGCACAAGAAGGTAAGTTCACCGACTTGGGCATCTTGGATGTTCTGCAAATTTTTGGTCGTGCCGGTCGACCCCAATTCCAGGATACAGGTATCGGCTTCATTTGTACGACACACGACAGGCTAGATCACTACATGCGCGCCGTAACTGAGCAACAGCCTATCGAATCCAGATTTTCCGCAAAGCTCATAGACAATCTCAATGCCGAGATATCGCTTGGTACAGTGACTACTGTCTCTGAAGCTGTGACTTGGCTCGGTTATTCTTACCTCTTTGTACGGATGCAGAAGAGCCCGCTGATGTATGGCATTGAATGGAATGAGATACGCGACGACCCACAGCTTGTCGGGAGACGTCGAAAGCTTATCATCGATGCCGCACGAATCTTGCAGAGAAGTCAAATGATCATCTTCAACGAGACCACAGAAGACCTGCGAGCGAAAGATGTCGGGCGTATTGCGAGCCAGTACTACGTCCAGCAATCAAGTATAGAAATCTTCAACACAATGATGCGACCTCGTAGCACAGACGCGGATGCTCTGGCTATGGTCAGCATGAGTGGCGAGTTCGACCAGGTACAATCACGCGAATCCGAGGAGAAGGAGCTTTCAGCCCTCAAAGAAGAAGGGCATGTGATCACACAAGTCAAGGATGGGTATGCTACTTCGCATGGAAAGACAAACTATCTTCTCCAAGCTCACATCTCGCGAGCACGACTGGAAGATTTCACCCTGGTTTCAGACACGAACTATGTGACCCAGAATGCAGCACGTATCGCGCGTGCGCTATTCATGATTGCGCTTAATAGGCGCTGGGGTTACCAGTGTCAGGTACTGCTAAGTCTTTGCCAATCTATCGAACATCGATGCTGGTCTTTCCAGCACCCACTGCATCAATATGAGTTGCCGCAGCCAGTCTTGCGCGCGCTCGATCACAAATATCCGTCGATACAAACCCTGCGCGAAATGGATGCAACGGAGATCGGAGACCTAGTACATAACAAGAAGATGGGTGGCGTCATCTCAAAGCTCATGAACAACTTCCCAACCTTGAGCATTGAATCTGAGATCGCTCCGCTCAACAGAGATGTGCTCCGCATCCAGCTGTTCCTCACGCCCGACTTTGTCTGGAACGATCGTCACCATGGTACTTCCGAATCATTCTGGATCTGGGTCGAGAACTCGGAAACATCTGAGATTTACCATCACGAGTTTTTCATCCTGTCACGCCGAAAGCTCTACGATGATCACGAACTGAACTTCACGATCCCACTTTCTGATCCTTTGCCTACGCAAGTATATGTTCGCGCCTTATCTGATCGATGGTTAGGCGCCGAGACTGTCCATCCCATATCCTTCCAACATCTCATTCGGCCGGACACAGAGAGTGTCTATACCGATCTGTTGAATCTTCAGCCTTTGCCGATCGCTGCTTTGAAGAACCCACTGTTGGAGGAAGTATACGCGCAGCGCTTCCAGTACTTCAACCCTATGCAATCGCAGATCTTCCATTGCCTATACCATACACCTGCCAATGTCTTGCTTGGATCGCCGACAGGTAGTGGCAAGACTGTTGCTGCGGAGCTCGCAATGTGGTGGGCGTTCCGTGAGAAGCCCGGCTCGAAGGTCGTATACATCGCCCCTATGAAAGCACTTGTTCGCGAGCGAGTTCAGGATTGGGGCAAGCGTTTAGCTGGGCCAATGGGCCTCAAGCTTGTTGAGTTGACTGGTGACAACACTCCGGACACACGCACAATTCGGGATGCCGATATTATCATTACAACGCCTGAGAAATGGGATGGTATCAGTCGTAGCTGGCAGACTCGTGGATACGTTCGGCAAGTCAGTCTAGTCATCATCGACGAAATTCATCTACTGGGCGGTGACCGTGGGCCAATTCTGGAGATCATTGTCTCTCGTATGAACTATATCGCATCACAGAAGAAAGACGGGTCAATCCGTCTTCTTGGCATGTCCACTGCTTGCGCTAATGCGTCCGATCTTGGAAACTGGCTTGGTGTCAAAGAAGGCTTGTTTAACTTCCGCCACTCTGTGCGTCCGGTACCGCTGGAAATCTTCATCGATGGCTTCCCGGAACAGCGAGGCTTTTGCCCGCTCATGCAATCGATGAACCGACCTACTTTCCTGGCAATCAAAGCTCACTCACCGGAAAAGCCAGTTATCGTCTTCGTAGCCTCCCGTAGACAGACTCGTTTGACGGCTCGCGATTTAATCAACTTTTGCGGCATGGAAGATAACCCAAGACGCTTCCTTCACATGTCTGAAGACGACTTGGCACTCAATCTCGACCGAGTAAAGGATGACTCATTACGCGAGGCACTGAGCTTTGGTATAGGCCTGCATCACGCCGGTCTTGTCGAGACTGATCGATCGCTCTCAGAAGAACTCTTCGCGAACAACAAGATTCAAATCCTAGTCGCCACTAGTACACTTGCATGGGGCGTGAACTTGCCAGCCCATCTTGTCGTAGTCAAGGGTACGCAGTTCTTCGATGCCAAAACAGAAGGGTACAAAGATATGGATCTCACGGATGTGCTGCAAATGCTGGGTCGTGCCGGACGTCCTCAGTTCGATGACTCTGGTATTGCGCGTATATTTACGCAAGACGCCAAGAAAGAGTTCTACAAGCATTT